GGACCGGTAAGGTGGATGTCGGCCTGGGCTGAGGCCTTTGCCTACCCCGTTTCGAGTCCGGAACCGAAGGAGTTGCTGAGGTTAAACTCCAGGACCCTGTAGAGATGAATGTGCGGGGCGGAAGGAATTGTTTAAAAGGCACAGGACCCTGACACAGGAGGTCTTTTAGAGAAACCCCTAAGGCCCAGAGAGGGCAGGTGTTTGCACAAAGTCACAAAGCATCAGAAAGCAAGATTCTGGAAGAGAATCTCCGTCTATGATCCTCTCTCAGTGGACTCCTTAGTGGACAGTGCAGGCTGAGATAATAGAGTCAAACAAACCAATTGGCCCCCTACCAAGACGGAGTTTCAGTTTCTGGACAACCTCTGAGAAGAAAAGTGCCTCAGTAAATCTTTGAAATAAGAGTAAATTTTAGCAAGACGAAGGCAGAGCAGGGTCCACGTCAAGCCCCACAAGCAGACTGGGGCAGGGTGGGGGCTTGGGGAGTTGGGTTGAGTTGTCAGGTCGTGCTGAGTACAGAACCCAAGGCAGAGAGTGGTGCTACATCGGGCTGAAGAGGTCAGGGCAGAGCAGGGGTCCTTGAACACTGAATTCAGAGGCCCATGTGTGACATTGTCTATGAAGACTCCTCCATGCCTGTCCAGATGGACTTGGGGCCCTAATGTGGAAAAGTGGGGAGCTCTGTGGACACGTGGGCCCAGCATCCAGATCTGATTCACCACCCAAAAGTGGCTGTCAACATGCTTTTCTTGGGAGCAAGCCCATCTTTAGTGATGAAAGTATTCTGTAAGCCTCGAAATTCTCAATTATACTGGGGTCCAGCAGTGGTAATCTCTGCCTTGGCCCCACCCCAGGATAATATCAAATGAGATGACCGTGTGAGAGCCCTTGGTAAACTGTAGAGTGCTTTGTATCTGTATTTGGTGGAGCTCAGCAGGAACCTCATCCAGTAGTCAGGGCAAACATCCAAGAAGAGCAGATCCCGTTCCTGCTTAGGACTCCCCTTCACTCAGAGAGCCCCAGGTTTAGCACCTGATCAGCTCTGCTACTCACTCAGTCACTGTGCATTTATTTAGCACCTACTGTGTACCAAGTACTAGGCCAGGCCCTGAGAATACAGTGAGCAAAACAGACAAGTTTCCACCTGAGCATAGCTTATATGGAGGAGAGAGACAAAAAACAAGGAACCGAGAAATGAGCAAGGTAATTCCCAATAGCAATAAGTGCTAAAACAGTACTAGTAAAAGGTTTCACAGTTACTAAGAGGTAGAGAGAATTTGAATCCAAGCAGTCAATTTCAATATCCATGCCCTTAATTGCTAAATTTGGAGGGAAAACAAGGAATAATCATTGCAGCGAAAATGTAAATGGTGCTTTGAGTTAACCCAAGCTAGGTCTGCTGGATGGGCGATAAGTTTACTCAATCATCAGCAAACACTGGCTCCTACTGCTGGCTGAGTTTAGCCCTGGTGACTGCCATAATAAAAAAGATTGACAGTCACCTGAGATACTCAACCAGTGTTGAGCACGGGTGAAAATGTACTTGTTTCCTGTGTGGGATTATCGACCTATACACTTGAACAGTGTGGGTGGCACTTGCTTCTGTGTACCCATCCAAGTCTGTATCTCTGCTAGTTTATGCACATATATACATTAGAGGCTCCTTGGCCTCTAAGAACCAACCTTGTTGGTGTCAGTGATGGAATTGGAAGCAAGATTTCCATTCTTCCCAAAGAGTAGGCAGAGACACATAATGTAAGTTAGAAATAAGCAACCTTTAAAGCTGTCAACCCCCCAGGGAAAAAGGTGGAAGGGGAGTTAAAAATCCCAGTTTCTCTGCTCTAAGCATAGTCTAACCTGTACTGACCACAGATGGGGGGAAGTTGTTCTAACAGCTTATGGCCCCAGGGAATGAGCTCTTCCTCCTTTGGTGGCACCAGAGTGGAGGAGTTACAACTCAGTGACTCAGTCACTTATCCCAGTGGCGCTCAGTTAGGGAAGCTTTTGTACCCCAGGGAACATTTGGCGGTGTTGGGAAACATTTTCCATCTTCAAGATAGGCATCTGTGGATAAAGGTCCCAGGCACTGCCAGACATCCTACAATGAACAGGATAGGACCCATGCTACAAAGAATTATCTGGCCCCTAAGAACAGTAGTGTTGAGGTTGAGAAACCCTATCTAGTCTGAGCAGTCTGTGCTCATGCCTGTCAGTGCCCCAGGGGTTGGACCCTTTTTATGGGGCCTGCTAGTGCAATCTCCACTCTTCTCAAAAAGTGGCAAGGGAGATGTGGCTGGGCTACCCAGGCACAGGATAGGGTTTTCAATCCTTTAATAATATATAGCTAAAGCTACAAACATGGCATCGGTGCCAAAATTCTAATTGCAATATTATAATCCACTTCCGTCAGCCAACTTTATGTCTGTTGCTTAAGCTTTTAATAAAATTAGGAGTTAGTCTAGTGATCAAAGAAAATACTCTTTGCTGGAGGGGAGGGGACACAATGGGATTGTTGTGGAGCCCAGGGTTCTTTTGTTAAGAAAACCTGTGTCTGCCACCCATGCAGGTGTTTGTGTATTTGTGCAAACTTACTCATTTAGCAAACTCTTTCACTTGACTGAGACTTTTCCTATGCCAGGACCAGAGGTGACATGGACTTAGCACCTGCTCTCAGTAGGTTCCAGTTCTACAAGGGAGAACAAAAAAATGCAGGCAATTACCAAGTGATGATTACCACACTGAGAGCATAATTGAATCTAGGTTGCTTTTCTACTCTTCCACATCCCTCCCCATGTGTGTTCCCCAGTGTGTATCTCTGTGAATGTGCTGTGTTTGTGAGAACGTGTGCGCTATTAGCTTGTTTGTATCATGGGACATATGCATACCCCTTTGTGTATTGTGTATTTATTCTTACAGGTGTTCATGTACATGTGCACACATCTGTAATCCCCTGCATGCTTGATTTCATATACCTGTATGCATGTGTTTGTATATATGTGAGAGCATTGTATGTACATTTACATAGGTACATAGTATTCTCGTATATGTGAGAGAACATTAATTACTAGGGTAGTTATGTATGTGGGCATGTCCAGGCATGTACAACTGCAAGCCATTTCACTGGTTGTGTGTGTGTCTGGGCCTTTTTGATTTGTTCTTGTCACTCAGGTATCCCTGGTAGTGAACGTGGCTAGTGAGTGTGGCTTCACAGATCAACACTACCGAGCCCTGCAGCAGCTGCAGAAAGACTTGGGTCCCCACCACTTCAACGTGCTTGCCTTCCCCTGCAATCAATTTGGCCAACAGGAGCCAGACAACAACAGGGAGATTGAGAGCTTTGCCCGCCGCACCTACAATGTTTCTTTCCCCATGTTCAGCAAGGTTGCAGTCGTTGGCACTGGTGCCCATCCTGCCTTCAAGTACCTGACTGGTGAGTCCCGTCGCATCCTCCCCTCATTTTCCCTCAGCCGGCTGAGACTATGGCTCCTTGGGCAGAGGAAGCCAAAGGCTGGGTGACCTGAGGCCCCTTCTGACCCCCTTAAATGGGTTGATGTTTGGTTCTAGCGCTAATATTAGGGGAGGATGGGGGCAGCCAGGAGCTGAAGGGGATTCTTGCCTAAGAAAATCTCCACACCTGTTGCTTCAAGTTCTCCCTTGGGGTCACTGCTGAGGACATTTCTGGGGGCTAGGTTCCTAGAAGAACCCTGGGTCCTCATGTTTTAGTCAGTATGGATTAGTTTAGCTTATGGACTTAGGATGGAGTAGCCAAGGTGCAGACAGGATATTATAGACAGCTAAATTAGGTAGATATTAATAGAGACTGGGCCCTCAAGGAGGTCAGCACAAAAAATAAAGACATCAAAATTATGTCTGAAAATTACATTACATCTGAAAAAGGCCAGGCCTCAAGATGAAGACACAATAGCTAGGCCTGCATGCCTCTTTAAGAGATGAGCAGCAACTTGCTATTACACCATAAATAGCACCACCCAGTCTGCTAAGTCCAGAGAGGCATCATCACTAAGTCCAGATTGACGCCTTGGTGGGTGACCAGAACATGTGGTCTCATCCTTCTATCCCTTCCTAAAAGACAACAGTTAATTTTTCCTCTTTCAAGGGAACACCACATGTCTGCAGAAGACTGACCAGGATGACCAGGCATCTCCTGTCTTGCATCAAAGGCAAAATCTATAGGCCATGGGAAGGAAATCTGAGCCAAAATTCCAGATCTTACTGTTTCAGAAGTGGTCTCAGAAGCCACAGAACCATAAAAGGGGGTCGTGGACCACGCTTATACTGTGACCCTTTTTCCTTCCTTAGGTCCTTTTCCTCCTTTGCGGACTCCATGCTTCTGGTTACCTTTGTATCCCTCAGCACCACCCTACCCCCCAACCCACCACCTGGTGGAGTAAATGAGAAACAATAGTGTTGCAAATCTTACCAAGACAGGTTTGCATTTTACTCTTGGATCAATCCTGATGTTTGCTTCTTTCCCAGTTCCCATAGTTACAGGTCAGATCTGGCCTTGCTTCCAAAGCACTTGGCAAGATCTTAAAATTGTACGAGCCTGAGGCCTGCTGGAACAGGGACCAAGAATCTCTTTAAGAGATGCCCATCCCTCCCATGATTCTGATTCAATGGTCCAGGGACTAATACTTGGAAATCGTTAAGATTTAATTAGAAAGAAAAAAAAAGATTTAATTAGAGAGCATAGTGTAGTCTGTCCAGTAGTTCAAGGAGATTAATAAAGGATTTTATGCTGCTTTATCACAGAATCTTTAAGTGTGCACCCCCCCCCCACTTCTGTACCGGGGATTGAACTCAGGACCTTGTGCTTGCTGGGCAGGCACAGCACCACTGAGCTACACCCCTGTCCCTAAAGTGCTCATTCTTAACCTTGATCCCACATCAGAATCTCCTGGAGAATATTTGAGGAATACTACAGTAAATGGCAGAGTCATATCCTCTGATTTTGACTTAGTGGTCTGGAGCCTACACCAGGCATCAGGATTACAACTGATAGTGAAATGGTAAGAGTAGGTATGGGAATTCCACTTAATTCTTCTTCTCCCTTTTTCTCTAGAGACTTCTGGGAAGGAGCCCACCTGGAACTTCTGGAAGTACCTAGTTGCCCCAGATGGAAAGGTGGTAGGGGCTTGGGATCCAACTGTGGCAGTGGAAGAGGTCAGGCCACATATTATAGAACTTGTGAGGAAGCTTATCCTGAAGAAGCGAGAAGATTTATAATCACATTCCTCCTTCTCTCAGGCTACCCAGCTCATCTCTCTGTGTATAGGTGACCAAACAAAATCAGTGCTGCTTCAAAGGGAGAGACCACAGAGTCTCTTCCTTTCGCTCTTATCCCACCTACCCTATCACTCTTACAGGGGGAAAAAATCTAAACTTTTTGCTATTTGAATCAAAGAACAACTAGTAGGCACTTCTGACCAATGAGAGCTCTTGACAGTGAATCACCAACCAATAAGAACCTCTAGTCAGTGAAATGTGGCAAGTAGAAGTGCATCAAGCAACAATTGCCTGCCTAGCCAAGCCTCTGTCAAATGGGGCAGATTCCTACCTCACAGGGCTGTTGTGAGGATTAAGATGAAACACCTGTGAAAGTGCCTTGATCAGAGCTAGCCAAATAGGCATTCAATAAATTTTTTTTT